CTATAGCTGAGCTTCTTGACAGTTCTTGGGAGAATACTTGCAGGTCCTGATAATTCTGTTACGGACTTTTCTCTTATGCCATAAACCCTACACAGACTGCGATTTCTGTATTACCACATTTCCCAGGAAATGTTTTTCTTCAATTCAAAATATTATTTCATGTATAACAAAAAGCAAAAGAGCTGTAGGTACATGTAGGTAGACCAATGATCACGGTCTTATATCTGAAAGCCTGCAAGTTATTTGTCTAGTCGGGAGTAAACATAAGAGTGTCTGTCTTTCCTTGGAAAGAAGTTTCACTTTATAACATGTTTTCAAGTGTTTACTAGGCCTTGGAAATGGCATAATTATAGCTTGTGGCTGTATTAAGGAAGCCACACCATCAATTTTCCCCCCCTCTCTGTTCTATTTGATTCATGGCCTTTTAATCTAATATAAGACTGGTTAATTAAAAATATATAATTAATTTCAGAGCTCCTGAAACAGCTATATAATTAATATATAAAGTTTCAAAGTAAGAAAACAACTCATTGTCCAGCTGTCACAAAAATCAAGATTTCTATTACAATAATCAGATTACTAATGCAAAAAAGACTGCTTTCTTTGGCCTGCTGATCAAGTAATGCATTCTACTTCAAAGCTTGTGGAGTCAAAGAACTGATGTATTGAACTGTTTTCTTTGGCACTGAAAAAAAAAAAAACAGAAACTGGGAGAAAGACAGTGAAAGAGAGATTATAGTGAGAAGTATTTACAGCAGGTCCACAAAGGAAAAAGAAAAGGGGATATACTATGCGGAAATAACTACAAAATAGAATATACAAAAAATAGCCAACCTTTTACAGCAATTTTTGCTGAAGCCATGAAAATCTGAATCTCCGCAAAAAAGTTTTTATGAGATTTAAGTCTAACCTAGTTGCCACCGTGAGTCTTCAAAAACACACCTCCCCAGTTCTCTTTGACTAAAAGGATATACCACATAGCGATGGGAAACAGAGCCCAGTAATATGATCCTTCAAGATATGCAATACTGAACAATATGAAAGGCGCCGAGGTTATCATGGTAAAGTAGTAAAAAGAAATGTCAGTTTGTGATTTGCCTTGTACCGCACACATGATCTTTTTTGCTTCATCTGCCTCACTTCCTGTACTGATTCGGGACACTGATACCCATACAGCCCCTTTGCTCAAATATGTAAAGATGGAGGGGGCTAGACATGAGCCACAGTTCTCTTTCCTTCTCCCTTTTCTCAAGGCACTGTGCCAAAGCAGAACAAACAGCTGTGTGCGCCTGCATGGTTTGAGAGCTGGACGATGATGTTATAGCAAAACTCCCTCCTAAGACAGAAGCTATACTATAGTTCAAGAGGATGCAAAAGATAACAACAATCTCAGCCTAAGCACCATCTTGCGGAGCAGTGCTTATCAGAGGAATGAAGATCTTCCAGATACAGGTTCTGGTCCCCTCAGCACATTCAAGTCAGCGGCAGGGCAGGTTAGCAAAGAGACATACCCCCTCAAACCATCACGACCTTTTGTCCAAAACTTAAATGGCCGAGAGGGTTGACGGTATTCAACACTACTTCTGCTATCAGTATTGAAGGTTTCAAACGGTATCTCCCTCTACAAACACAAATAGAGGGCCGTTTGTCCACAACCTGATGAAGATTGCTCGACAGTTCTAACTGAAAGTTTTCTTCATACAAGAATGATGATATAAAAGTGTTCTGTACACTAACTCTGAAGATTTTTGCTTCAATATTGGTGTATTTCATCCAATAAAGCTTAAGTAAAATTACTTGTGAACAAAAGAAAAACACCACAATGCTTCCCTTAGTTTTATGAAAAATTATTTTAAAGGTATTTAGTTGCTGAAACAGATTTGTAAGTACACTTACGATGTTCACATTTTCTAACCAGCAGCGATCTTGATCTGGAAGGAATAGCTACCATTAGAAGGTATGTCAACATAATATTATACTTGTGGAAGAGATGAACATAACCATTTTTTAAGAGTATGTTTATGGCCTACAAAAAGCAGAACTGTACTAACTCCTCCTCCCGTCCTCTCTACTTAATGTGTGCATACGTATGAAGACATGTAACCTGTCCCCCTACTCACTGCTACCCTGACATCACAGGTGTGAACATGAAAAATGCCTTTGCTCTAGATTGACCTGTACCCTAAACAAGAGATGTATGCACTGAAAAATAATAGAAACAGAAATAGAGAGTCAAAAACAATCTTCAGTGCTGCAGTCATGGACTTTTATACTTCTGCCCCCTGCTTCACATAAATGAAATTCCACTATCTGCTGCAGAACCCATGCAATATATCTATGAGTGATATGTGGGCCATCACCTCTCCACATTTTTCAACTTAATTAAAAATAATCCAAGGCCTGTTGTCACAGAAACAGTGTTTCTCGCAAACTTTTTTTTTTAGTTTTGATTTTTTTTTTTTTTTAAAGTCAGCCTTTAACAAGCTGTTGATTATAGAAAGCAGGAAACTTGATATTAGGTGGCTGAAGGCTCGTAGCTAGGCACATAAGAAAAGAATGCATAGACCTTTCGCTGCTTCAGACTCTGCAGTCTCTGACTAAAGCACTGATTTGATTTCATGACTGCTCTGTACAGATAGCTGACATTACTAAATGCTACTCCAGTATCAACTTGTTAAATTTGAACCCAGACTCAGCATATCAATATACTAGGCCAGACTAACTGGAGTCAAGAGAAATATTTTGGGAGTTGTTTATTTTTAAATGAGTCACAATACACCATGATAATTAGTTGAACTATATAATTAAATAATTACTGTAGAACCTACTATATTTGCCACAAAGACCAACAGAAAATGCAATAATATATACCCATTTTCTTCTAGTCAACTGCTGAACTGCTATAAAGTCAACTGAGCTTTTTGTTTGGTTTGGGGGGGGGAATGTTGTTTTATTCCTTCTGACAATATGTTTTACAGATTATATAGCAATCAATTTTACATTAAGATTGAAAGGGCCACTTCAGGACTGAAAGGCTCCTGTGCCCGTTGTCCTTGAGTAAAGAAAGAAGTTCGAAACAAAGCTATTGCTATAAAACATTTATCGTCCAGTTTTCTGATGTCAGCATCTTTTAATTCATATGTAAACATAGCACAAACCTACCTATTTGTAAATATACAAAGAATACAACACAGATGCAACAATTTGGAATTCAGACTCTTTCCTCCCACCTCCCAAATTTGTCTTTCACCTTCTAGCTGGAAGGTGAAATTTGAAGAATTCAGGAAGCTTAAAACATGCTGCCCGGCTACCACATTAAAACTCGTCTTCTAATACAGAAGCACGTCACCAAGTGCTTCAAAAGTTAAATCTCCTTTGATTTTATGACAATCCATTGTGAATACAGCTCCTGGGAAATGAAACTATTTTCAGTTCATTGTGCTGTGAGGTTTTCTGAAAAGGTTTACTAACAAAACTTTGTTTTCCTGAACTGGGATTCTAACTAATCTGAGTTCACTAAAATTTACTCCTCACTATTAGACACCAGCTGCCATTAAACAAAAGCTAGCCGTACGCATTTGTGAGAAATGTGCCTGAAGGGCATGACTCAACAGGCTTGCCTTTTTCAATATTCTTTTTAAAAATAACTAGATCTAGACTTAAAATATTTCATAATCTCTTTGTGCTTACTGTGGATTTTGCCATCAGGTTCCCAGCTTGATTTTGGGAATCCCCAAACAATATGCACAGTGACTACTTGTGCTCCACTTGTGATCATGAAGCTTAAGACAAGATCAAAATTACATTAAAAAGTGCATTTTTCTCTAACTCTTGTTAATCAAAAAGCACAACAAAACTCCAGAAAAGTCAAGTGTCAAATCATCAGGCAATGCCCTAAGTAAAGGGAATGACAGACTGAAAATTACAGGATAGTATTTCAAGGTAAGATTACTAGTTTAAAAAGGCACTGTCATAACTACAGATCTTTGGCAGAAAACCCTTTGCTTCTACAAGCAAGTTAGTTTAAGGGTAGTTATGTTGTTTCATGGAGAATGAGGTTTTTAAAATTTAATCAAATCATTTTTATAAATACTAATTGACACATTTTTATCAGTGTTCACAACTAAACCAATACATGATATTCAGATCTTCTAAATCCTTTTGAGGTTATTTTAAAAGCTTTAAAATCCACCTTTCCTGTAGCTTAAGCTGTACTACCAATAAAGACTGCCTCAAGAGTTAATAAGAGCAAACACATTTTTGAATCTTAGTTGGAAGTGAGTTTCATTACCAAAAAATATATTTAATATAAGCCTTCTAGACTCAAGTACTATAATTTGGACAGCAATGTTGTTGGGAGAGGTATTAAGTTACAGTGTACTGCTCAGGCTGAACTAGTGGTTGGAAGGAAAAAAAGGAGAGGAAACTGAAAATTCCTGTGGTTCAGGGTGTATACAGAAACAAATGGTATTTACAGTTCCTCTGCTCAAATATGACTTATCTTTAATTCTACATACAGCAAACTGTTCTGTAAAGTAAAGCTTATATAAATAAACCTAAAAGATACTATAGTACTCTATTCTTTTTTAGATATTTAATATGCAAATTATTTTACTAACTATTAATTTATTGATCAATACAGTTAGGTACTTGAACTTTGTCCAGATTGCAGATGACGTTTTTTAATTTAAATGTCTAAATAACTAGACAAGAAAATCCCTTCAAGTTCATGCAAACAGGAAATTATGGTTTATAATACATCAAATACAGGTATTTCACTGTAAGAACTATTCACCAAAAGGTATTATAGTCTAAAAAGCAAATCTAGAAGTCACGCATTACAGATAGTATTAAAATCAACTTCCTAATGGTGACAGTTTGACACTATTAGGAAATTCTTAAATAGTTGGGTTTAAGTCTTCATAATGAGCTTCATTATTTTCCAGTTAAATTTCATTTGTAAAATACTGTCAAGTTTTTCTATAAACCAGAACACTCACCTTATGGGGTCTCCACAAAGAACTGCCAGACAATTCCCTTTTACAGGTTCCATATCTTTTCTTAACACCACTTGTTTTTGCTTCATTCCCAGGTTTGAACTGTATGTGCAACTGAGACGTCCTTGCATTTTGACACTTGTATTTAAGACTGGATAAACAGCAAGAAATTTTTTGACATGATCCTTCTAATGAAACACTTCTTTGCAAAACATGGTGGGTTCTGCTCATCTGTGCATTCGGTCTTTCTAGTTCCTTTATATTAATCTGATATTCTGAATCTATTTTTGAGGGTAAACATGCAGATGTGCTACGTGCCAGTTTTATAGGAGGATATTTTGCACTGGAGTTCAGATTTAACTCCGGACCGCAACAGCCATTAACCATTTCACTGCTTGATGCAAATGCTCTTTGAGTTAGATGAACTGAAATACAAGAGAAGCCATCAGATTCTTCTTCACAAGTTGCCTGCTCAGAACTATTCAAAATTTGATTTTTGTCCTGTAATGAACTATTCAAGTAAAGCGGCCGAATGTCTCTGACTTCGCCAGAAGAGCAAACTGTTTTAGACAGTCGAAGTCCATTGACTGCTGTTGAAAGGAATCCCTTGGGAATGGTTTGATCTTCTTTTTGTGCCACCTCGCTAGACGAAATAATTAGTTTGTGTGATGTTTGATATGCCCCTCTCTGCGGTAGCTGACCTGAGCTTATCGGAGAAGCTGGAGGAGTACTAGAAGGACTCCTAGGGAAGATTACCAAAGACGAACAACGTCGCAGTGGAATTTTAGTTTTCTTCCTCACTGACAAAGCATCCTGGTCAAAAGTAGTATTACTTCTACATAGAGTTTCCTGAGATGAGCTGTTCTTATAGGCTTTACATTTGTTTGCCATGCTTCTATATGAAGAATTGCCATATACAACATTACTACAGAAAGTACCATCACCTATTGAAAGAGTACAACTACTACTACTGTCACTGAAGATACTGCTAGTATATGAGCCTCCATCGCTTGTGGTACTTGTACATGATCCATAGTCACTGCCAGCACTACTGAAGGATCCATTGTCACTCGCTGCGATGCTACCGATACTGCTATTGCACAAAGCAGTATTGCTCAGATGGCTATCGTTAGATCGATGATCAACCACAGTTCTAGCGCCACAATTTCCTTCATTACCAATACCGGTGAATGAAGTGTCTTCAGGAGCAGCTATGCCATCGCCAGGCTGAAAACATCCATTATACTTTCTAGACTGCAGAGAAATGTGCACTGAGGTGCTCTTTTTTTGTAATGAAGAAATAGTTGCATTTTCTTGTTGATTAATTATTTCCTGCATTATAGGTGCATAGGCAACCTGTCTAGGAGTTGGCTTCGGCTGTACAATATTAGGTGCAGAATTCTGTGAAGGTTTTTTGAGGTACATACGATTGTTACTATCCAAAACATCTTCAGAGGTTTCTGATAATGGATCTGTGTTACTTCTCCGGGTTGCAAAATGCAGTCTTAATTGTCGTGCCATTTGTTCTCATTTCCATGCATATTAGCAAATGAAAACCACAAAGATCCTTCAGCAGAAAGGCTACAGGCAGTTGCACAGAACCCAGATCTAGTACATCACAAGAGTAAGAGCCAATAAAAGTTGCAGTCTTTGTCCTAATTTCTACAAAATACTAGTGGGGAGAGAGAAAAAAAAAAAAAAAAAGAGTACCTCTTGAAATAAGTCAGCCATTCGTTGAACTGCAGTTTCTGGACCGTCTTTGACTGCTTGTAGTCAGAAAGCATTCATTTACAAAGCACTTACGTCCCAACAACCTCAGCTGCAACACACTGTCAAACACTGCTGACCTTGTTTCAATTCTACCTTCGGCAATTTGCATAAATGAATACAATAATAAACTCCCAGTACTTCAAGATTAAAACAGCAACTCCTGCTGCAGCTGCACTAGCTGAGTCAATGTGTCCGTACTTTCCTCAGCAGCGTATGACTACTAATATTTTTACCCATAGGTTTAGAATTACAGGAAGTTGGTAGGAATGAAGTCCCATATAATTGAGTATCAAGTCTAGGATTGAATTTCCAAATAGTAACCATGCTAGCAAACTGCTGAGGTCTGAATTATGCATAAACCAGTAAAATAAGCCTCATCCCCCTTAAAAAAAATATTTTTCTACACTATTTAAATAAAACCTACAAAAACCAGTCATCTCAGAATCTAAACACTGTTAAGTAATCACTCCTCATACAGAGCTGCACGTAGTAGAAACCTCTCCTGTCAACTGTTTAATATTTTTCAGCATGATGCAACTGAATTAGAACCACAACAATTATTCTGATTAATAATTCAACACCTATTTTCAGCCTACCACTTTAAATAATGTATTTTTAACTTTCTCCCAAATTAAAGCTGTTAATGGTAGGAAAAAAAAAAAGTTTCTTATGCTCCAAACTGAACTACCTGAACTTGTTTGCTGGAAGTCCACAATAACTGGACATTCATTAGAGTTAGACTGGGCATGCAAATACATGACTAGCTACACAAACAAATTTTGAAACACTAAGATGAAAACCACAGACTGATCATCTAAGATAAATATATGATTACTAAGCATAGTTACAGGAAAAAAGCTATTCTGCATGATCTATCACATACAGACTGACAGTCTCACATTCACAGCTAACTACTATGGTAACTTTTTTTGATAAAGGGATCAGCATTCAAAGAAGTTAATATACTTCCAACTCTTGTATAAGTTACAGGATGGAGAATTCCTCCAAACGTTTCAGTGTCTCATATTGTCTGAAAAGGTCCTTTGCTGGCACCTAGTGGGACTTTGGAAAAAAGACAATCTTGCTGTTAAGTGTTTTTTAGAAACAAACATTTGGTTATGAACACACTTTTGAACACAGAAGCCATATATGATGTAGTACTAAGCTCTACCACGCTAACATGAAATTACTGCTGCTGAAAAAGCGCAAATAGAAGAGAACACTAGGCCATTTATACTTTCATAGGTCATACTACTGTTTTTTTTCCCTGCTCCGTATTTATTTAACCTTTACTGTATTTTAAGCTAGAATGCAATAAAATTAACATTTATATCTCCTTCCCAAATAACAGCTAAGAATCAAATTCACAGAACTCTGTTTGCAAGCAACAAATTTGTTTTCCAATTATACTCCAGGGCTTACTTAACCTCCTTTACTTGAATTCCATTATTAGAATGCAGTAGTAAATGAATACTAGCTTATTCATAAAAAGCCAACAAATACAATAGTTCATCTATTTCATTACATGTTGCCACCTGGACTTCTTCAAATATTATAAAAACACAGAGGGGAAGAGGGAAGGAAAGTAAAAAGTCAAAAAAGCTTTTTGGTTACAGTTTCAAAAAGCTACATTTGAACTTCAAGCACCATATTAAAAAACAAAAACTAAGACACACAAGTAAAAAGGAAATAATGCATTTCTTAAAGCTCCTCTTCTCCCTCACAAATTTATTAGTAGCATTGTTTGTTAGATTTTAGTCTAATCTATAACGAATTGCAATCACTTTATTAGAGAGACGCTGCTTTTAGTAGAAGTATCCCTGCCCATCGGGGATAATCTGAAGCGTTCTTCCAATTTTACTTAAGATATTTACATAAATAATACTTACATAAACGATAAGTTGACAGATTTTGGTAACTCAGGGTTCAGATTTAAGTCAGATTTTTCAGTACATCACTCCTCCTTCGCTATAAATCTATAGGTATAGCCAGTCAACTACAGCTTCTTTAGTCAGTTTAACGTGGCTTTTTAATACGAAATTCTGTGCGTTTCTGAATCAGTGTTGATATAAAAAATAATAATAATTTTAAAAAGACCAATAGCCCCACTGAAATCTTAACATCATTGATTACTTCACTGTCGTTAACATGGGTTTTGGAATTTATCTTATAGATTTTTATATTTCAAATGATTATAAGACCGGAAGTGATAGCAAGAAGTCATCTAGTCCCTCCAGTGGCCCATCTCCTCAATGATATCACTGCTCTTCCTGGTGGAAATTTTTCTAATGTGTTTTTAAAGACTACGATAACTGAGGACTCCACAAACTACTCAAGCCATTTATTCTGTTAGTGGTTTACAACAAGTCAGTGGAAATATTTAGCATTCCCTTACCAAATCAGATCCAAGCCAGGTGACCTTTGAAAAGACTCAAAAGCCATTACAGCAAGATTTTAAAACTCCAGCTGTTGGTGATATAATCAATGCAGTAGGCATTGAATTTAAGCCTGTCTCTGAAGGAGATGAGTTTTGAGCCTGTTTTTAAAGAAGGCAACTTATCTCAAAAAAAGATATTTCAAAATTAAATTTCTCCCCCAAAATTATAGGGAATACATGCACAGGACAAAATTCTAAGAAAAGAACAGAATCTGTTGGGAGAGAGATCTCACAAATAGAAGAGGATTTCAGCTGTATCAACTCACTTTCATACAGCGTTTAAACAGCCATTCAGTAGGTATGAGAATGAAAGGCCAATTAACACACCTACCTACCAAAGCCTACTAAAATCATGGAAGCCTACTACACCCTTTGATCATAGCTGCACATCCTAATGAAGGAGCATGAGGCACCCTTGACCCCGGTAATTAACATGAACTAACAGAACTAAGGGAGTCCGTCCATTCCAAACAGTCACAGGTAAAGCTGCTATTTTACTGTTTGAAAAAGTTTTCTAAAGACATTCGAGACAGAAATTTGGTGCTTCATCACCCAGAGAACAAGCTAAAGAACAGGGAGATAGCCTTTTCCAATCAACGAATGAGGAAATTGAAAAAATTAAAATACGTAGGGAGTATCGTAGAACTACACAGTCACTGATCAGGTTCTGCTATTTTTGGTATGTGAATACAATCACACATAGGAAATAAGGCACTGTTTACAAGTTGATGCCAATGACAGATTTTATTAGTTCCTCTACCGCTAACGAAGAGGTCAAGCAACTTTTTTTTACTCTCGATTACAAAGAGAATACTAGGGAATTCTTTTGGAGGAAATCACAGGGAAAGCATTGGCCTTCCTCCCAAAAATCTGACTTTTTAATCATGCCTCCTAGATCCCGGGAGAGGGTGGGGGGCGGGTGGAAGGCTGTAACGTCCCAATGAGTAACAGACAGAGTACTTTGATCTGATAAAGAATATAGTGTAGCCCCTACTGTTGTCTTGAGAAGAACATCTGACCATCCCAACAAATCATATTTGATCTGCCATATAAAGCATCGTTACTATTGATGCCCTTGAAATTTGTTTTCAAAATAAAGAGGCATCACACTTGAAATACCTGGGACAGGTAATATCACCGGCAGCCAACAAGTATTATGCTTTGGGAACTGTGAAACGCCTATAACAAAAAAATAAGCATCTTCTTTCTTAAATCTAATTATTCTAGACAGTTTATACTTATGTTTATTGACCTCTTCACTTTCCAACTTCAACAAAACAGCAACTCCATAAAAGATGCAATGGATTACTGAACCTATGTAGATAGCATTAAGAAAAAGTTAGGTTCTTCATAGCCAACACGTTCTTCAGCCACAGAGTGATCCTTTAGAATGGCTATCAGAGCAAGATTGTATTAAGAGTACAAACTAAAGACCACTTAATCTTGCAAAATAGTCCCAAACTATTGCAGAAGGAAACGGTATATTATCTCTCCAGTGAGAGCGAATGTCTAACTGTTAAGTGGCCCCAGGATGCATCTGTCACAACTGCATTGCATCATCCTTATTCATTTACAGGAGAACATACAGACAGAAAGACAAAGCAGCAGACATCTTCAGACAGAAAATGACAGCACGGTCAGAGGAGGAATTATGATTGTGAGGAAATAAACACACAACCTATCCCTAACTTACCTATGACCTCCCATTCAGAGAGTAGCACCTACCTTCCAGATCACCATCCACTGCCCTCTCGCTAGATTTTCAAACAAATGCACACACACTTTCTTGTATGCTATTCCTCACATTTAGAAGAAGCTTCTCAAACATGTACAGATATTTGTATTCTTAACAGTATTTTCTTTATAGTTAAAAACGAGAATTCAGTGCATAGCTTTGAAAAAAAATCACTGAAGGATTTGGCCATGTCATTTGGGAAGCATCATAAAAGAATGACTTTTTACAAGTGAAAGCAAGTTAAAAGTTAAGCAGTAGTAATATTATTGCTTCAGAGAACCACAAAGTGCATTAATAATAAGTATTATTATTAATAAGTAACTGAGTCAGATGTGCCTTTAATTTTAATTAAACTTTAAAAAATTATTTTAATCTGTGGCATTCAGATGAACTTACTTTCACTCAAGTCTTTAATAAATAGCAACATTAATACAAAAGGACCTACCAAACGGTTTTCATCAAATACTTCAAAAAGGAGTCTGTGTTTCTGAGGATTAACCTAGGAAAAAGAAAAGTGTTAATTATTAGTTAAAACATACACTAAGATTTCAGCATTTGTCTTATTTAGCAAAATTTCAAAATTTACATGAGGGAGTATACATAAGACTAATAAA